CTATTCGTACTTTAATTTTTAATTGAGCTACGTTTATGTTTTTCGGTACTTTTAATTATTTTCTATCAACTTATTTTAAACTCATTTAATTAATCCCCTTACATATGTATGTATGTCAGCTTGTTGCGATCGCAACCTATTAGCGCTAGCTTATCTAATACCCCGTGTGATTGTCTGTTTGCCCGTTTTTGGCACAGTAATTATGTATTTACATTTGGTCTCCACTATTTTCTGTACTATTTCACATTTTATTGCTAAGGTGATGTTTTTAGCACCTCAAAACTAAAAAAAAAGACTAAGGAAACGTGTGTTCCGTTAACAACTAAATAAGCTATTGCCATTGCCATTTATTTAAGTTTTTTTATATGTACATATACCTACATATAAACATGTGGTATGTATGCATATACATATATGTAAATATTTATATGTACAATATAAAATAGTAAGTAATATTTAAAGTGCCTAATTGGCTAGCGCTCGAGTAATGTTTTTGTGCAGAAAGCGACAAAGTAATTTGCTTATATGTACATGTGTGTATGCATATATATGTATACATATAAAAATTAATTTACTAAGTATACTTCATATTTTCTTAAGTGTTCTTGAAAACATCTTTCCGTACTTTTAAAAATAGTCTCCAAGTCTATTGTTCAATAGTAATTAAAAGCAAGGCATGCATTTAAAATTATCGTATTGTTCATGTCTATTTATGCAATTTAAGAACATGTAAAGGCACTGTCGGGTGTGGAGAATTTTCGAAAGGCATTAGAGAATTCTTTTCTAATACCTCCAAGTTTCCATTACTTTATTTGTTCCGTGTAGAGTTTGGTGTCCTTCTGAAATGCGAGCAACATTAATTGTGAACGCATTTTAATGTTTTTCTAAAGATTTAGATGTAATTTTTTAGTTTTTGTAGAGTTTGTAGACTTCCTGAAAGAGTGCTTAAATGCAAGCTATGTTAATTGCCAATGCATTTAATGCTTTATTCCAGTTTGAATTCTTTTTTTTTTGTTGTACTGTAGAGTTTGGAGACTTTGCATAAATGAGTAAATTTAAAGCTTTAGCGCAGATGACAACATTTTAAAGCTATTTCACGAATTTATATCTTACTGCAGACTGCAAAAAAAAAAATTACTTGCTCTAATAAATCTGTTGTACGCAATCTACTTAACTAAGGCTTACAAATTAACAGTTAAGTATGGTTTTTATTCCGTTCGTGTGTAAAGAAAAAAAATTAAATTGCATAAAAAATAAGGAGTAAGAATGCATATTTTGTTTTTGCTCTTGTTTTTTTGAAATAACACACACACACTTACAGTGAATTAATCAAAATTTGTGCGCAGTTTGCAAATTCGGCTGCAAAGCCAGTGAGCCCATTTTACATTTAATTTGTAGAGTAAATACCATTGTCTATTAGCTTAGCAGCTCAAGAGTCACACAAGTGATTCAATTGTTTGACATACCATTATGCGTTGTAACTGTTTTCCTATGCTCTACAAAATATATGACTAAAATATGTCAGTTTGAATTTTTATGTAAACAAATTAGGGGTATTCTCTGAGTCTTGCAAAGGCCTTGCACGGTGCACGGATTGCATGGTTTGCAAAGCTGTCCCATACGAAAACCGGTTTTTACCGTGCAATCCGTGCAATCTGTGCACCATGCAAGGGCTTTGCAAGACTCAGAGAATACCCCTATTTTTGCTACCCGTAGCACTGTGTGTAAATGCTCTGAGTAAGCACACCACACACACATACACACATAACTATAATTTTTTCTTTGAATTTGTTAACAAGGTAGTGTTTTAGTATTTTGCTTAGGAAGCAATACAACCCTTTCCAAGCTTATGCTAGCTATTTTAGAGTAAACTATGATCAGTGAAGTTATAAGAAACTTTGGAGACTTTTCAAAAATGGTTTTCTTCCATTAAAAAAAAAATACTTGAAAGCAATAAAAATCGGAAGTAATCATGTTTTCGAGTAAATTTGGTAGTTTCGTAAAAAACTTCCTTACGTGAAGATTTGAGTTTGCTCAGAAAGGTGAAAAGGCTTGATAATTCCACATCAGTGTTACCACGTATAATCAGCGTTAACTTCAAAATTAAATAAGTCTTTCTGATTTAATTTGTCTTTTTTTCAATTAGATTTAGAATTTCAGATTAGATTTAAAATTTTGGCTTTTCCCAAAAATTCAAAAAAAAAATGTAAATTATGCATGTCATCAATAAAAATAAATCCCGGCATGCTATCAAAAGCAAAGATAATAAAATAATTAATGAAAGGGAAACAAGTTAAATTTCGCGAACCTGTATTATTGAGGCTGTAAAATTCTGTTAATAGTAAAAATTCCAGATCAATTCTGGCAACTATCTTTCAACTCACCACAGTATTTCGAAAGGCAAAGAAGAAAGAAAGAAAGATATGCTAACGAAGAGGTCTTAACGTTATTGTGTTTGTCTTTTGGCTATAAGTTTTCTATAAAAAAAAATTAAATGAAAAATATATATACATATATTTTTCTTTTTAAACAATACAAATTAAAAGAAAAAAGTAAATAAGTTTGTAAAAATTAAGTGAAATTAAAATTTTTTTTCTTTTTCAAACAATAAAATATAAAAATTAAAAAAAAATTAAAAGAAAAAAGTTTTATCAAATAAAAAAAATTATTTTTATTTCTAAAACAAGAACATCCAAAAATTAAAAAGAAATAAACTAAACAAGAAAAAATATATAACATTAAAAAATACACAAAATAAGTTTAAAAAATTAAATGAAATTAAAAATATTTATAGTTTTCTTTTTAGAACATTAATCTTTAAAAATTAAAAACAAATTAAATAAAAATAAATAAATTTAAAAATATTGTAAAAAATACGTCTCGAAGGCAGTGCCAGCGCTTTGCTCACTCTTTACTGCTTCGTACCTCACAAAATTAATTAAAAATAGGCGTTAAATTACTTCGATTCATTATATATTATTTTTAATTAACTTAAAAGTACCTAATCTTTAATAATTGGTAAAAAAGTGATTAAAAATGATTTTCTCTTATTAAAAGCGAGTATTTTGTTAGAGAATGTTGTTTGACAGTGTTTTGAAATACGAGGTTTTGCCAAAGTAACGTCTATCTCCATGTTCAAGAGCTTTCACCACGAAACTTGGCAAGGGATCTTTTTTTGTAAGACTTTCGTACCAGTATAAACAAAATCTCTCAAACTATCTTTTGCCCTCTGTTTTTCAATTGTATTACTAAAGACTTGCAACTATCTTAGCCAGAATTGCCCTGCCAGAACCGTACGTTATTTGTAGCTCGTAGAGTCATCGGTGTTTTTGCGATTATTGCATGTGACCGCTCTTTATTACATAGCAACCTATGTATGTATGTAATATATAATACATATTCATCTGGAAAGGCAGAAAACCTGGGACAACGCAATAGCATAACCAATAGCATAAACAATTTCCAATAATTTCTAATGACAGATACAGTTTTGACTGACTGCTTTTAAAGCGGTTGTTATTTTCGTTAGCAAATATTTATTTATTTATCGGATGTACATACATAAGTACATAAATATGCATATATGTATGTAAAAAATCACATTTACATATTATTATTGTTATTAACCCATTAAAAATGATGAACACATGCGTCGTGCCCCACTCATCACACACATCCACGTACCTACATGCATATGTACATTAGGATTGTTCTATATCGAAAGAAATATACCCCTATTTTTTTATTTTGAAATCAAAAAATATTTAGGGGGTGCTCAAAGCGCTCAAAGTTTTCCATGTATTTTATATGGAGAAAAAACCATTTTTCGTAGAAATGGTGTAAAACTCTTAAAAATCAATATTTTTCGGAAAACTGTGGTTCTCTTCAGGAGACTTCCAGTATTAATATCCAATTGTTTATTTAACCATTTTTTATGATTAAAGATTTTTCCATTGCATTTTCTAGGGGTTTTGGAGGACCTATAAAATATAGTTACTATGAAAAAATGGTTAAAAAGACAATTGCGTATTATTACTGGGAATCTCCTGAAGATAATAAAAGTTTTCCGATCGAAAAATATTGATTTTTAAGAGTTTTATACCATTTCTACGAAAAATGGTTTTTTCTCCGTATAAAATACATGGAAAACTTTGAGCGCTTTGAGCACCCCCTAAATATTTTTTGATTTCAAAATAAAAAAATAGGGGTATATTTCTTTCGATATAGAACAATCCTAGGGGGTGCCGGCATTAAAAATCCGACCTTATTTTTTTTACATACATTTTTGGACGACTTTAATGTACATATTTACACACGTACCTACATACATAGAAGGCGTCATTCAATGCGCGCTGGTTGAGGAAAATAAATCTCAAATTGGCGCGATCAATTTGTGGTTATTTACAACAGCGCACAAAAAAATGTTTATTTTTTTTAACTAAAAACAATTTTATGAGTAACTTACCTACGTTGTTATAAAGAAATTACGCTTTTTACTTGTGATTACTTGAGTGATCAATTAAATACATACATACGTGAAATTTGCCGATCAAAAGATCTGTCACAGCGATCACGCACGCCCACCTGCCAAGCGCGCAACCAAAACATAAGCGCTCATTCGCTTAAGCCGCACTCACACAACAAATGTGTGCGGCAAGGAAGTAGGCGAGAGGGAGTGTGAATAAGTGAGCGCGATGGTGGGAATCGAGCGTTGTTGAGAGGCGGGCAACACAGATGCCTTTACTTGGATCACTCAAATGAGCTGCGCTCATATTGAATGAGTGACTACTTTTCGAACGTGCCGCGAACTCAGTCACATTTAAGCCGGCAAAAGAACATAACAAAGAGCGAAAAAGCAGCGCCGCGCAAGCTAAACAAAGTCAATGCTTGTCTGTCGCACAGCACAGTCATGCCGCCTTCTAGGCATACGCTATGCGACGCTCACCTCCGCGCTTTGCCATTTCTGCAAGTCAAGAACGCCATCAAAGTCGTTCGCTTATCGACGGCGTACGGCGCACGGCGCGACTACCTTGCATGGGGCTGTTTTGCTTAAAAAGTAAAGAGTACACCTGCGTTTATTTCATTTGCGTTAAGACAGCCCGTTCGTTCAGAACGTTCACTCCATAAAAGAAAAACAATCTTCCATACGTTTATTCCGTATAAACAAAATACAGACAACGAGATCGCGGCGTACGAGCGAACCAAAAGTGTTGCCGTTTGTTGATCGTTAGTTTCTTCTAAAAGAATCTATTGAAATTTATTTCTATTATTTATATTCATGATCGGTTTGTAAGCTTCTAAAAGTTTTGAGAAAAAAAATCGCATTACCAAAAAAGGTACGAACCGTAAAAAGATCGATCGAAGATCGCCACTCATTGACTGACTGATCGTGCGAGCGTTGAATGTCGTGTGTGTTTATGTGATCGGAATTGAAAATTGGAAATTGGAATTTTTCAACGTACATTTAATCGATGAAAAACCTAAAACGGAGTCGAAGTTGAACAGGTTTAGTCAGCTTGCTGTTTATTTTTTTTACACAAATAATTACTTGCGCACGCACTACTCTTACAAGTTCCTTAATTTTATGCGAAATCGGCGTGGAAGTGCAAATGGACCTGTGTGTGTGCATTTGAGTGAAGTAATCACTAGTAAGTAAGCACAAAAAAAAGGACCGAATGACTTGGAGCGAAGTAAAAAATCAAGCAAATCAACTAAAAATCGCAGATAAAATCGTAAACTGTAATTTCGTGTAAGCTGCGACATACATGAAAAATGCATTCATTATATCTTAACGAGCATTTGTTTGATGCACAAGCGAGTCTTGACCACAGCAGCGAACATAGCAGTACGCCAGTGTCCGTTGTGTCGGCGAAGAGTACGCAACTTTGCGTGAAAGCGCCTAAACCGATTGAGAAGAAAGTTGTGCTTGCGTTGAAAAAATTATTGAAGTGAAGGACACGCTAGTCAGCTAGCAAGTGAGCAAGTAATCGAGAACAAAGAACGACACTGAAAAGTGAAAGTCAAGGAAGTGACACTATAAAGCGCACAAAATACAAAGTTGGAGGAAAAAGTGTTCCACAAGTTCAATTCAGTGTTAGCGGTAGTAAACTTATCGAAAAGATATTTTGAGAAATTCTAAAGTGTAGAGAAATAAGTGGAAAAACTTATAATTGCCACGATTGAGAAAAAAAGTTGTTGGTTTTTGAGAAAAAAATTAGTAAACTGTGATAAAAGAAGTTTTAAAGCAACTAAAAGTAGCTTCATAGCCGAAGCAAATGAAAATACACTAAAGACGAAAAAAAGAGAAATTTTAAAGAAAAGTTTTAGCTATTTTTTAATAAAAATTGAATAGTTTGTAAAGAAAACTTAACAACGAACTTGCCGAAGCTAACTTTTAACGAATAAAAAGTTTCGTCCTTGAACGAATTTCCACAACGAATTTTATTTTTAATACTAAACAAATAAAAATTAAAAATAATTAAAAAAAATAAAAAATATTGCGTAAAATTAAAATAAAAATTTAAAAAGTCAGTCTACACAAAAACTATACACCGTGCAAAAAAAAACGATTTTTGTTTTTTAACATTTGAAGTCATAAAAATTTACACTGTGCCACCAATAACAACTTTCCCGAAAGCAGTATTAAAAGAATCCAAGCAACACAAAAAATTCATTCAAATCCCCACACCACAAAAAAAAACAAAAATCTACAAAATGATCTTCAATAAGTACATCGAAAAACTTTCGAGCTCCTTTGGCGCAAGCGCCAAGCAGCAACAAGCCAAGCACACAGAAGTCAGTGACTACAATAACACACGCAATGTGGAGTATGAGAAAGCAATGGCCGCCAATTACATCAACTGTGGCCATTACTATCACTATAATCAAAGTCATATAGCTTCGAAAAAGAAGAAACCAAATAAAAGTCAACAGCAGCAGCAGCAGCAACAACAACAGCAGCAGCAGCAGCAACAGCATCAACGCAACTTTTTAAGCACAGATGAATTGGCAACAATAAATAATGGCCAAAATAGCAGTAGTTGTTGTAAGAGCAACAACAGCAGCAGCAACAACAAAAGCATTAGCAATAATACAACAAGTCATACTCATAGTCAAAGTAATAATTACCTAAAAGTGCCACAACAATCGCATCATCCGACACGCCTCAATGCCAAAGATATACCTGCGCTACGCATCTCTACGGATGTGCATATTACTCGAGATGCCGCGGATGGATATGCTTGTGTGAGTGGCGGCGACATATCACCCTCGCATTACTACGAAGGTGACTTCTATGGCACGCCACTTTCATCGCTGAATCCTTCGCCTGCCTCGTCGTATACGACCTCACTCTCGACGGAATCGTTGGCAGCTGGTGCCTGCAGTCCCAGCACCTCGATGTCGGCTGCCTCGACGCCCACATCGTTGTCGACGTCGCCACCGCGTTTTCACAGTCGTCCGCCATCGTTGCGGCTATCCAAGGAGTTGGCCGCGATTTACAGCAAATTGTTACACTTTCCGTGGGTATTTTTCTTTTATTATTGGAAACATGTATTTTTATATAAGTTTAATGTTTATTGAAACTCTGTAGTATGTGAATAATGCGAGGCGTAATAACAAAGGAATGTAGACTCTAGAAATACTACCAAAATTCATGCACTGCGTTTTCAGTTGCCTGTAAAGGTGTTTACAGCTAATTTCAGTGTAGTATAGAGCTTGGAGAGTTTTGAAGACTACGCATTTTCTCTTGAAAAATAACTCAAACGTTTAAAAATTGTGTTCAGACAAAGTGAATTGCTTTGTAGAGTTTGGAGAGTTATGCTATACTGCCTTAAACAAAGCAAAATTGTGTTTCATAGTGTTTGGAGAATTTTAAAAACTGAGCATAGAATTGTTAAACATTTTAAAATCTCTTAAATACCTTCAGTTTTGAAGTATTAACGATGTTAAGAACTTTTCCAAATCCTTAAAATACTTTTAGTTTCTAAAATTTTGAAGCATAAATGCACATTTTCTACACTCTACAAAACTTGTCTCCAAATTATTTGCGCACGAAAATAAGCTCGTAATACATTTTTAATTAAATATTACTTAGTCTGTCCGAAGTTCCCCAACAAATTTAATATCTCCTCGGTAGCTTCGTCACATTTTTTTTTCATTCCGCTTTTAGTGACGCAGTGACGCTGTAGCCTAATTTTATGCATCCGCCCGTATGACTGCAGTAAGCGCATTTATAAATATCATTCATTGTGGCCCTCTTTTAACGCACACTGCTAACATATATAACGGTAAATGTAAATTTAACATTTACATACGCTTATTGACGCAAGTGATTTACACCAACGCAGCCGGGTAACCGTTACAAACAGAGGTCAGATAATTTGATGGTTTAAAATGCCAAAAATATGATAACTTTCAATAACTTATTTCGCAAGTGTCGAAAGCGTATCAGAAGCTCATACTTTTACATGCGCATCAGCTGTCTGCTTTTTAAGTGAAGAACAAGTTTTCGATATAATTTTAAGCACAAATTTTAAAAATAAATTATTTGCGCTCACGTTTATCACGCATGAGAGTGTACGTTGAAAAAAGTGGAAGGGTAATAAAAACCAACGACACTGTCACGCTGTGAAAACAACCATAAGCACTGTTGGGACTGTAGGCGCTTACTTGTTAATATTTTTTTTCTTATTAAATTAAATAACAATGCTGATTGAAAATGCGTGGCTCTAGTGTCGCCGCAGCTAATTAGCAACTTTGTGGATTTAAGTGATATATGCGCACATGACATACGCAATTATGAAGCGCAAAATTTGCTTATTTACAAGATATTTATAAAAGATAAGTAATAAGTAACAACTATAGGGCATGTGTTTACTTGGATGAGAGTTTTTATAAATAATGTAGTGATACTAATTTTTTAGCTGCTAAAGATGTTTTTTCACATTTTTCTTAAAATTTAAGAAAGTGGAGAGTTTGGAGACTTCCTAAAACTTAAGCTAACTCAATATTCAAACATCAAAAGCTACGCAGACCATTTTTTTCGTGCTGAAGTATTTATCGAACCAGTGTAGAGTTTGTAGACTTCAAAAAAATTTAATAAAATCAATTGTTGTACATTAAATGCTGCTAGGACATAAATTTGCTGTAGCATAGAAGTATTTTGAATGAGTGTAGAGTTTGGAGACTTTTGATAATTCGCACAAAATTAATGCGAAGAATGAGTTTACTTTCTTTCTGACCAGATGTGACTGTATATTAAGTCTTTTACTAAATCATTTTGCATAAACGTTTTTGTCTAATACAATTTTTCAATTAATTTTTTAAAAGAAAATATTTTGATATTTTTAAATAGGTATTGTCAGCTTTTACTTGTTTTATTTAATATTGTGCGGCCTGCTGTTATAACACAAATGGAGGGACCTACAATTTCACGCCGCCTCCGAATGGCAAATGGTTTTAAGGGCAGATTTTTCAAGGCAGAAATACCCCCGAACGATTGCCGGTGTTAGAAAATAACTTTTTCTAATTTAGATGTTGCTCGGACCAGGGCTTTTTTTGTATTTAGTGTACTGGCCTTTTATTAAACTACTCAATTAAAACCACTATCACATGTTTAATATACGCAAACAGCGAGCGATTTACATGTGATTGTTACGAAATTTTCTTTTGTGCTTGTCTTTTTTATTATAGAAGTCATAGAATTCCCAACACGTGTTTTTATTTGTTTAGCATGCCATTGTTAACTGTTAAAAAAAAAAAACACTCTACACAACTTGAGCTTACATTGTAGGTGACTGTACACACACGTGCGTTCGCCTCGTGTGTTGGTGCCATTTCAAATTGGTAGGCATGTTTATGCTACTTTATTGATGTCATTTATCTCGCGCACTTACATAATTAAGCATCCAAATATGTACATTTATCTATACAAATTATGGCAATTTCTTTGTTGATTATAAATAATTGTGATTTTGCGCTGTGATGATGATTTCTTGTTTTTCTCGACACTTCCTTTAACTAGTTAGTTAACTTTTGAAATTGCTCTGAATTGATTTGTTTTGTTACGCTGCTTTTCGTTAAGTTTGCATTACAAGGCATTTTTTTTAACTGTTCGTGTTTGTGTGCACCACCCTGTGCTTCCACAGCTCTTCAACTCCGCCTTCTACTTTGCAGCATACAGCGAGCGTTCGCATCGCCTACATTTAATAGATGTAATCAGCTTTGTGTGAATTGATTTCAGTAATTGTAGCAATTGTTTGTATACATAAGTGCGGACAGACCGCAACTAAATGTTAATCATACCATCAAATAGTGTGTGCTTAGGCGCGCAAGCTAGATATTATCGTGGTAATGCGTTGTTAATAGAAAATGCTTAACAATTACTTGATGTAATGCTTAAGTAAATAGCAAATAATAATGCAACGTTGCTGCACTACGTACGAAAGTAATTGGAGCAATTAGGTATTTTCTTGACAGCTGCAGTAGCACCTTAGCGTTCGTTGGCTTGGCAAAAACGAGTTATAGGCTGTTTTTTTTTTTAAATCGCTTCAGACATCGCTTGTTTTGAAATTTTCGGCGCAAAACCGAAAAGTGGAAAGTTTTGGAAAAAATGATAAAAAAGTGAGATATTGCTAGTTTATTGTTAAATTGCTAATGGAGACTTTGCACACCTTTTGTTGATGCGCCATTTTTCATTTATACTAAGCAGTGAAGGATTTTCTACGCTTTGAAATATTTTGAAGCTTCTAAAAATGTAGGAAAATATTAAAATTGTCTAGGTAAAGGGCTGTTTGCAGCTCTCAAGAAAAATCACAAGAAATATTTTTCATTATTTCTGTTGGTTGAAAAAGTACTTTGCTTCCGCTGTAAATTAACTTGAAGGAATAATTATTCTAGAATTTTTTTTTTACATAGAAAATAAATTTCGATAGAAGAAAATTTCTTTTCCATTTCTTGTGCATCATTTTATGTGAATCTTTCGTTTTTCTTGAGAGCTGCAAACAGCCCTTAAAGCTGATTTCAAATTATATAGATTTTCGGCGCAGCAAAATGTGCAAAAAATTTCCAAAGCATGCTTGATTTGACAAAAATGTGCCTCAGCTTTAGTTTAAACTTGCGAAGCGAATGAATTTGGCGAAGCGAATGAATTTGGCGAAGCGAATGGATTGGCGGACGCAACTTAAATATGCATTAAGAGTGTTATTTTTTACCAGCTTGTGAAGTTCTTTGCATCACGAACATTTTTAATGCCTTCTCTGTTCTTTATTTCGCTTCGCCAAACCGTTAATCAATTGATCGATGGTGAGCGGTTAGAAAAAAGCGAACGGTTAGTCGATTTCGAGCAGTTAATCGAATACTTGCTAACCGGCAAAAAAGTCGATGTTTAACAGCAGCTCTAAATTGTTGTCTTTTTTGATTTTTTAAGAGTAAAGGGATTTAAATTTTGAATTTTGAAATAAAAAATGTTGTTTATTGTAAAAATTAAAAAAAAAAAAATTATTCTAATTTAGCATAATAAGGAAATTTACGCAATGTTCTTAAAAGAAAATGGGCTGATTTCAGTTTTTTTCTTTGAAACACTGCAGATATTTTAATTTTGAAAAAAATTTACTTTTCAAATAATTTCGACTAAAGTTTTATTAAAAATTTATATAACAATAAGTGGAGAGATTTCTGTTTCAAAACTGCATATTTAGAAAATACATAGTAAGAATAAAGCTTGCAAGCGATAAAGCAACAGATTAACAAATTTTCATAGCAACTTGTATATTATCATTATTTATTATTTATAACTCATATATTTTCATTAAAATGCGCTCTAATTACTATTTTAGTATAAATTATCGAAGTTATTTATTGCTGCGCTCTCACTAAAACTGATCATTTTTTGCTGTCGTTAGAACAAAGCCACCAAAGCGAGTGAAAGTTAAAAAATTAAATAAATTGCTACCAAACTACATACATACATACATTTATCTCACTGCTTAGAGTGGCTAGTAGTTCGCACTAGTGATTTTTTATACAGCCGTTAATTATACATACATATATCGCTAACGGGCCTTTACATTTGTAGCTGTTTCTACGCCACGTATTTTCATATTTCATGTAACAAGTTGTTTTTACCCCGACCTTTCTACTTAGTTTAATAAAAGCTTTTTTTTTTGTTTGTGCACAACAATTTACAACAACCACACATTTATATTGCCAATTACTCCATTTTTCACGCGGGAAATTGAAATTGAATTATAAATTTTGTTTTTGCAAAATTTTTACGCCCACCAGCCAACCAGCTGCGGACCAGTTTTGTTGATATTCATTCAATTTTCGCTGTGCTATGCCTGCTAAAACGGTTTGTTTACATTGTTGGCGTTGCTTTGACCTTAATCACATAAAAAACGATTTATGCATTTGCGTGAGTGTAGGGGATTGATTTGAATATTTATTTATTTTTATTTTTTTTTGCACTAAACTTTCTAAGCACTTACTTTACGGCCCCTAAGTATTTCCTGTTGTATGA